GTTGCCGGCGTGACTCGACCGCACTGATCTATTGTTAGGTTTTTGTGATGTGTATTGTTTTTGTGCACAGAGTGATTTAAAAAATAAAGTGATATCTAGTTATTGTGTGGTTGTAATCGCTGCAGGTGGAATTGTTAAAAAAATGATTTGGTAAGTACGTTCCAGTTGAAGATTGTTCTTATACATTTCTCGATTGCATCTTCGAGGGGACGTGTCTGATTTTGTGGGCAGCACGTTTAATGGTCGGTTTGTTGTGGCTGGTGGCTCGCCCACGCGTGCTGGCCTCGCTACCAGATAGGGAAAAAAATCTCCTATCTGATGGTGGTGTGGGCATGTGTGGGTGGGCTCCCGGTTGCGCGGGATAGGTGATCGGAAGCATAGTTTGCGTGAGCGGATGCGTCCCTTCCGTTGAGAAATCGAGATTTATTTTCATCGTTTCCCATTTGTCAGAAGGATGACCTCGATCGCGTGAGGCATGTTGTTCGGTTTTTACAGTTAGGTGCCTACGAATAATGCATTATGATTATATTGTTATTCATGTTGAAGCATGATTCGTTAAGTAAATAAATGTCGCGATCGATCATGCATGCTTGGCACTTGACCGATTAGTATTTGATGTGTTGTTAGGTGTGTCCTTAACACGATTATGAGGGCCGTGGTTGAAGACTGGCGGTAGTCACGGCGGGTCGTGTTTGATTGAGTGGTTTGGTGGTTTTGATGCGGTAGTTTGACGTATAATCGGGGTGGTCCGGTGAAACATGAAAGATAAAACAGTCGTTTTAAAACGCAATAGAGTTCGGTCGAGATAGCTTAAAAGATGTGCAATATTTGTACGCTGGTAGTTACGTCAGTCTTAGTTTACTTTGTAAAGTAAGGGGCACGGGAGCCCAAAATGTGAAAGTTTTAAGGATTTTGTTCCGGTCTTACGCAACGTCGCGTAAAAGTAGAATTTAATGGAGGCATAAGCGTTTTTTCGTAGCTTTATTTGTCTCCAGGTTTAAAAGAGCATCGATTGTAGAGGCTTATTCTTATGTAAAGGGTACTGCCGTTGAGTTTGAGTTTGAATAAATCCCAGGTCCTATTATATTAGCGAGACTTATAGTAACAACGCTTGATTATCGTGTGTTTTGTGAAATTTAACGTCATCATCAACGTCATCGTCGGGGCCGGTATTAAATGGTTGCAACAACATCGCGATCGTAGCTTATATGATGTGATATGAGAGGCTTGGTGGCCTTAGAGCGACAATTTTTGCTTGCTGAGTAGAACATCATGAGTTTAATCTCAAGCCCCTCCACATTCAAGAATCTTTAATCGATTTATTTGTTAATGTGAATACATTGGGGTAACAACAAATCGATCACAGTGGCGCCGGTGATGTAGTAGTATACGTGATTACCTCTCACCCCAAATGGCCTGGGTTCAATCCCAGTCGGCGCCGCCGGGATGTGCTGAGACATAACATCTCTGATCACGCCTTCCTTCGGAAGGGAAGTAAAGCCGTTCGTCCCCGATTCATGAGTTGCTGACTTGATATGTAAAGTCCAGGTATAAGAGCTACCTCCCTCGCGCCGGGAGCATTGGTGCTCAGCATGGAAAATAGTATCGACGGAAAACGAATCAAGAAAAAAAAACAAATAGAATCTTGGTGTGTTGTTATAAAAGGAGCTCGTTTGCCTAGTGCCAAACGTTTTTGCTTACTGAACAGAAGATCGTGGGTTCAATCCCAATCTCCTTCGCGTTATAGGATCGTTAGGATATCAATTCAGCTTATCGTTTACCAAAACAAATTCTGCTGCAAACCCAACCCTTTTATCCAACATCCCAGTGATTTCTCGTGGAAGTGCAGAGGATTTTTCGGCTTTCAACATAGCAGGTATTACGCCAACACATTCCTACCCAGTCCTTTCTTGACCTGCGTTCGGGCGTGGCCAGCGCTGGTGTTGTCTAGTTTGAGATCACCATATTTTACACATTGAGGATGAATGCTAGTCCCAAGCATCGTCTATTGGTTCTCTGTGTAATTATAGCTGATCTGGCAATAACAGAGTAGCATCCGCGGGCGGTCAATCATGCTCATGCTCAATAGGCTCAAAATAAGTGCTACCAAAATGAAAAAAGTACTAGTTTTATCCATGTGCAAGTTCACTAATTCAAGCTATTTATAGATCAACACTTGCTGCGGCCACGTCCGCTCGGTCTTTTGGGAAGGGGAAGGAAAATTGGTATGACAACCGTTATTATAGAGACTGTGTTTACTCCTGCGTCGCTATATACGATTGCCATTAAAAAGAATGTTGTATTAGTGTGGGTCAGGTTATTTTTGATCTGGATTCACTGTGGTAAGTGGTTCAGCAACCGATAAGGTAAAGCAGATTTGTTTATTTAAATCTAATGGGAATAGAGAAATAGGCATAGTAACAAAAACGAGGAAAAGGACGGGCCTGGGATTAAACTCTCGACCTTCTGCACAGTAAGGATAAGCGGTAACCACTAAGCTAGCAAGCGTCGTCTATAACATAGGCACATGGTAGTTAATGACAAAAACATAAAAACTTCTTATTTTACAAAAATGTTACCTCAGATGATGATGATGATAGTGGTTTACCACGGAAACTAAGACCGATAGCAGTGGGCTCTCTTCTCTGTTTGTCTTGATCAAGCTTAATAACTTCTAATTATCCTCAACATGTCGCTGTATGCAGGGCCCAAAACGGATTGGGTAGATCGATAGGCAAAGTCGACTATACGCATCTACGGAGCAATAAAGAATCTCCTTCCAGCAGGAAGATGCCCCAATGAGTGGGGAGAAGAACCCGCCCTTTATCCACGAAATGTTATCAACAGGGAGTTGGCATTCCCACTCTCCTCGTCCAAATCGCTTCAATCGGGTGCCCTGTTGGACCGTCCCTTTCCTTTTATATATGTATTTCAATGTATATACGAGTTGATTGATATGATAATTGTCAATAATATTGCGCATTTCACATCAAACTGGACTAATAACCGCGTTTTCACTTTTTAAAAAGTGTGATTTAGGTGCGAGCTTCCGTCTAATCGTCTTGGTGTCTTAGGTGCACTCATTTCTTATGATGCAAGCAATAAGTGCTCCGAAGACACCAAAACGATTTGACGCAAAGGTGCACTTTTATCACACTTTTTGCATTTTAGGGGCAGTCCAGTTTCAGATGCAATCTGCAATACTTACATTTCGATGAAGATCGTGCTACTTATTTTACCTTTTTTGTGATACTCATCATCACAGAATCCAACCTTGAATCGTAGACCAGGTCCATCACAATACACTCGTTCCGAGAAGGGGCTCATGGTCATCTTCTTCTTCTTCAGTTTTGCTCACCACCCGGAATGAAGGCTTGGTGCGGTTAGTAATATCAAACAGTGTAACATGCAAACGAAAAAGAGATACAACCAAGGTTAGTTTTTTAAAGTAATAATCGTCTGAATATTCAACTAACCATATTTCAGTGACATTGTCTGAACCTACATTAAAAGTTATTTTGTGATTATATGGTTACTTTGCTACTCACATGAAATGTTGTGCAAGTACCACAAGTTCAACAACGCCCAATCATGGACAGCTCAATGTTAATACCATTTACTCTTTGAATCAGCGTACACCAACATGATAATCTTCTAAGAAACACCTAAGAATGTATAGAGATAAAGCTCAAAATACAGTTTTAACTGATGGTACTTTATAAACGTCAAACTGTCCAATATTGGACCCTGCCAACACACGGCGCCTGCACGGTAATGTGAACCGTCAGAATGGTTCATCGGTTGCGAAGAGAAGTGCTTTTCAAACTGAAGCGATACATTTCTCAATTTTTCAAAGTTATCCTAACGTAAATCACCCATCTGCCCGTCCACGCCCGAAACCCATCCACCACACAAAATCAAATAAAAATGTTTCTGTATGACAGACACGTCACGTCACGTCACGACAGACACGTGTTTGACATAAACGAGAATATGGGTGTATATCTTCACTGTAACAACTACGGGTAATTATCGAAAGTACTTGCATTTTACTCAGGTACTTTTGAGCAAACTGTAATGACTCTCTCATACTCAAAATATGCCACGACCAAATTGACACAACGACGCCTTATACGCTATCTGACCAAAACGCACGGTTTACAAAAAAATTTTCTCAGAAACATAAATTAAACCTCGCTGAATTTTGAAAATGTTGTGTAGAAAAGTTAAATTTCAAAGTTCGAATTTTCAAGAAAAAAATAAAACATGCAATAGTGTCTTTGGCCCCGAGACAATGAAAATCGATTATTATCAATGTTTTTCAATGTAAAACCACCTTTAAATTTTAATATACATATTTTTCCTGAACCAAGATTTAACATTCTTTCAAAACCATTTGACCAAAAAAAATAGGTCCCAAAATAGTCCCAAATTATGAAAATGCTAATTTATCGAACCACCCTTACATAGAATGCCTACCATAATGGAAAAATTAAAAAAATGGTCTAATATTTTTCGATAATGAACAAAATACAAAGATCCACTCTGATTTTTTTTAAATGTTATCAATAATTTAAGAACCACTATAATTTAAAAAAAAGCCGGTCTAAAGAAGGAGTTTTACAAGCTGAAAATGTTCACAGAAGACACTTAACCTCGAAAACTTTAGACAAAAGCACTAGGAATTTTTGCTAAATTCTCACCATGAACCATTCTTGATAAATCACATTATTAATATAATCGAATCAATCCAAAATGTCACGCAGTATATATTTCAAATGATCTTATGGCAAATGACCGAATGACGAGTGGCCGAATGGCTGAAAGAACGAATGGCCGAAAGAACGAATGGACGAATGGACGAATGGACGAATGGACGAATGGACGAATGGACGAATGGACGAATGGACAAATGGACGAATGGACGAATGGACGAATGGACGAATGGCTGAATGGACGAATGGACGAATGGACGAATGGACGAATGGACAAATGGACAAATGGACGAATGGACGAATGGACGAATGGACGAATGGACGAATGGACAAATGGACAAATGGACGAATGGACGAATGGACGAATGGACGAATGGACGAATGGACGAATGGACGAATGGACGAATGGACGAATGGACGAATGGACTAATGGACGAATGGACGAATGGACGAATGGACGAATGGATGAATGGACGAATGGACGAATGGACGAATGGACGAATGGACGAATGGACGAATGGACGAATGGACGAATGGACGAATGGACGAATGGACGAATGGACGAATGGACGAATGGACGAATGGACGAATGGACGAATGGACGAATGGACGAATGGACGAATGGACGAATGGACGAATGGACGAATGGACGAATGGACGAATGGACGAATGGACGAATGGACGAATGGACGAATGGACAAATGGACGAATGGACGAATGGACGAATGGACGAATGGACGAATGGACGAATGGACGAATGGACGAATGGACGAATGGACGAATGGACGAATGGACGAATGGACGAATGGACGAATGGACGAATGGACGAATGGACGAATGGACGAATGGACGAATGGACGAATGGACGAATGGACGAATGGACGAATGGACGAATGGACGAATGGACGAATGGACGAATGGACGAATGGACGAATGGACGAATGGACGAATGGACGAATGGATGAATGGACGAATGGACGAATGGACGAATGGACGAATGGACGAATGGACGAATGGACGAATGGACGAATGGACGAATGGACGAATGGACGAATGGACGAATGGACGAATGGACGAATGGACGAATGGACGAATGGACGAATGGACGAATGGACGAATGGACGAATGGACGAATGGACGAATGGACGAATGGACGAATGGACGAATGGACGAATGGACGAATGGACGAATGGACGAATGGATGAATGGATGAATGGATGAATGGACGAATGGACGAATGGACGAATGGACGAATGGACGAATGGACGAATGGACGAATGGACGAATGGACGAATGGTCAAAAGGACGAATCGCCGAACTGACGAATGGCCGAAAGGACAAATGGCTGAATGGACAAGACTCCAAGGATTACTTGCATGAAATTACAAAAAAATCTACAGCTTTAATTTTTAAAATTGCACAATAGATTATTAACCCTTTAAAGCCTAAATTTTTGTTTTGATTTTACATAATTTCTTTCGAATGGCCTTCAAGGCAATATGAAGTTCTGTCGTATTATTTAATGATAATAATACAATTTGAAAGAACAGCTCATGTTTAAAAGAAGGAATCTCTATTAAAAGTATTGATTCTAAAGAGCAAAAAATCAGTGAGAAAAGTATTTTTGAAGAACAGCTCATGTTTAAAAGAAGGCAAAGTCGCTGTTAACAATATTAATTCGCGAAGCGCCAAAAATCACTGCAAAAATATGTTTCGGAAGAATAGAAGATTCATCTATTTCTACCACTTTCAACCAGACGGTTGTTCACCTCAGTTTTAACTGTTATGTGCGTGCCGAGGTACCCGGGTACCCAGCTCCCATTTGAATAACACGGTGTAGAAAAACATTATTCACGCACTCAAGGGTTAAAAGATGAAAAATCTCATCAATAACTGCAGCGTCAAAAAATCTGCTGCAATATAACTCGGAAGAACAGCTCATGTTTGAAAGAAGGAAATATCTCAATAAAAAAATATTAATTCTAAAGCGCTAAAAATCACTACAAAATAATATTTCGGAAGAACAGCTCATGTTTAATAGAAGGAATAATCTCTATTTCAAAATTTATTTTATTTATTTACTAAGATCTAAGATTATATTTTCTGTTGTTGTTGTTGTTAAGACTGTTTCCAAATTCAATGATTTTATTGCTGATTTGTGCAACAATAAAATCAAATGTATCTTCAGCAATTGTCAAGTTGAATAAGAGGATTAATTAAATTAATCCATCGTTCCAACCAATTGAAATTCGTTCATTCGTCCAGTCTCGTCCATTCGGCCATTTGTCCATTCGGCCATTTGTCCATTCGGCCGTTCGTCCTTTCGTCCATTCGTCATTTCAGTCATTTGTCATTTCGGCCATTCGTCCATTCGTCCATTCGGCCATTTGTAGTGAGACCTTTTAAAATGTTGTGAAGTTACGGATTTCCGAAATAATTATGAATTTTTAATCAAAACAGGTATGTTACAGTTCACTGACCGATTAGCAGCTTCAAGTACCATTTGTCCAAGTATTATGCCAAATTATCATTATGCCAAGCGATTGTTATGTCAAACAACTTTATGCCAAACGGATGTATGTAAAACGGTCCCAACAGACACTAACCCGTCTGTTGCCATTTATGGCTACGTTTTGATGGCAGTATGGCTATCGCCTAAACCCCTTTTACAACATATCGACTACATCCAAATATTAGTTCCATTTACTTCGATTACTTCAGTTATTCCTAAAAAGCGTCCAGAAGAGGCCCTCCTCGACGATAGTATAGGAAGTCTTCGCTTCACTAATAAAGTCACTCTACGCCAATCTACTATAAACCATTTTCAAAGCACTTCATCAACTTATTTTTCATTTACAAGAATGATAAAAGGTAGTAACCTAAACATTTTTTGAAATATCATCAATATCATCAGTTATGTCGGGCTGTAACTAGCTCCTGCTATGTAGTTAAATTAAATATTTTTAATAATTTCGAAATAATTTATATATTTGATGTTTCTGCATGATATAACGGTAATGGGAGCTTATGCCAACGTAGTTCTCTACCATATTACAAAAAATAGTGAAACATGTGATTGTGATTTTGTGCTCGAAGAGTTAAAGGAGCACGGAAAATAGCCTCGTTTCCCTACGTCCATAATGCGGTCGTGTTTCAGACACAACCCAAACATTGGGGAAATTGAAATTATTGTAACTTATGGTACGGTTTGAGCGGTTTGCCAACCCTGGCGCTTTCAGCACCGCATTCATCTTCTGTCCGCGCAAAATCTTTCTCGTGTGCTTTATACTATCTGATAAGGGGCTGTCCATAAAGCACGATCTAAACCAATTGTAAACTAAATTCTGGATGATTGTCCAGCGAACAATGTGTACGCAGGGGAAAGGGGCCTAAAATCTTTCAAAAATTGTCCTCTTGGTTTGCGGACAAACCCTAACCATGGTTTTCAATGGTCAACGAAGGGGCCTGTGTTTTCTAGATTACAGCCCAAGAAAGAGAATTAGGAACGATAAAAATTAACCGCGGAAGCATAACAACGAAACAAAGGAGGAAAGCAGATGGCCTCCGCTGTTGCAGATTTGCTTTTACTCTTATCGCAGCTTGGTTTAATAAAATTCAAATCATCGAAAGTAAACAGATAAAGCGCAAGCTTAAAAAAATTAAATAACAACAAACCAGTGATGATACACCGCTGTTGTCCCGTATTGGTGTACCACCTGCTCCAGCATCCATCCAGTCTATAAAAAGCCAACAGCAGGGAAGCACTTGCTTAATTTCCCATTAGCAGCTATTATTGCCATCGGCGACCACCGTTGCTCCCCGAAAGCGAATAAAATCTCGGCATCTCGATGGCATGGCACACGGTAGCTCACTTATCTCCACCCGGAGCGCGTGCTTCCGTCTTGTGGCTGGAGCTGGAAAATCCCAGGAGAGACAGGGTAGAAAATTCAAGTCACGTTCGGAAAATTTCCCAAACAAATTTATTTGGTTATTTGTTTCCGACAGTACCGTCTGTGGTACACATTACACCGTCATGCGCGAGAGTCCTTCCCCCCTCAGATGACCTCCTTCCGAAAAGCACCCAAATAACTAGCACAATGCCACACTGACTGAAGTGATGGTACCTACAACGTGCTTGGCAAAGCTCAAAGGTTCAGTGTTGAATGTTAAGAAGGTGTGAGACTACTTTTTGCGCTATTATTTTTGTTCGACCCCGACGAAACAACAAATGTTCTTGCTACTGGTGTTTAGGGTTACAAGCGAAAACGTTGAATATCAAGGACTGAATGTTTCAAAATGCCCCTAAAGTCACATGCTTACCCGGTAACCCTAGCTATAATGTGACTTCGGGCGCGCGACGGGAAACAAAATGGCTTCATGATCTCCTCGACTATACCGATCCAGCTGCTTCTGGGTGGGCAGCGAGCCAGCGCATGACTTTGGGGTAGCCAGAGGAATGGTAGATTGACCAACCCGATTTTCAACAGATTTTTTTTTTCTTCACTCGGTCTTGTTCACCAGTAAAGGATACTATGTTATGGGAATAAACAAATTGCTTTTATTTCGGGACGATTTTCTTGGTGGAAGGAAGCGGTGTTTACCCATGCGAACGTGTTAAGTCGAGAATGAAATTTATGGTCAGCACACAATGGTTGAGTCGCTTCCTGGAGCGTTAATTGCCTTTTTGGGTTTTGTACTAGTTAGAGAAGAGTGCTCAATGGAATGGTAATGTTAAGCTATAAACTTATCGATCTGCATATTCTCTTCAACTAAAAAAAAATGGAAAACATGTGGAATTCAAGTGATAATGTATATTCCGCGATAATCACGGACGTCTAATTTTTGACCTGATGTTAAGACTGGAGGTAAAAAAGGATTCCATGTCAATAAGAATTTTTTTATTGGATGATGGACAGCTCAGTTCATAATTCACTCACCAGGTGACGATAGTGTGAAATTTGTCACCTTATTGCTTGCTTTAACTTAACAGTACGACTAGACAGAAGTTTGCTGTCTTCAGCTCTGAATGGCAAGACCTATCTCACTCGAAAAAATCACTGTCAACACGACCAATTGCATAGTGGACAGCTCAGTTCTGAATTCTTATAATATGTAACCTACTAAAATTTATGTCTTCATTTTCTTTGTTTTGAGTGTAGCTAACGCGTTTCACAACATCTCTTACTATGAGCGAATAGTCACCTTTTCTAATGGAGTATTGAAGAAGTTAACACGTAATTTTTACTTGCTAAGAAATGCTGTGGTTTAAATTAAATTTTAAAATTCTATTACCTACTTCGAATGAATCTGGTGAGTTCTGATAGAACTAAGCAAAATTACGTTACGTCTCAACTGGAACTTTGCTTTTGTCTTAAATTTTCATATCATCTGCTGTTTTGCTGTGAATATTCGCGAAAGTAACGTATTGACTTATAACGTATTGATTTGTCAGTATACGATTCGCAACTGTCATGGCATACATCAGCAAAGGAAGGTGGTCAAGAAAACTTATCAAAATGGAACCATAATGTTTGCAAATTTAAATCCAGCCTTATGCCTTGTGTAAACAAGGATAGATCAGTTCTGCCATAAGTTTAAAATATGTTAATATTAAACAATTTAATTGACTTTTAATTTATTGAATTCGTTATTTGATGCATTTTTGTTTGAACACAGATACAGGATAGCGGCGCCGGTGGTGTAGTGATAAAAAAAAACAAACTCAAATGAGATTAAGTAGGGGAATTTACGTATTGTCGGCAACCTAAGTAGCGACCATTTTTGTATAGCCCTTTTCTCTCAGGAACGCCCACATATGCAGTATTGATTTGTTTACAATCAATTGCTGCTCTAACAATTTCAGTCAAAAGGATTGTCAAAAACTGTTGTGAAACGCTTTTACAAAGCCCCAATCTTCTCTAGTGAGAGCGACATCTTTTTATTCGGTAACCTTTCCATTTGAGCTGCATGTTAAGCAGCTATTCTTTCATCGGCAACTCGAAATCACCAGTATTTTATAGTGTGTGTGTGTGTGTGTGCGTGTGTGTGTGTGTGTGTGTGTGTGTGTGTGTGTGTGTTTCTGTGTGTGTGTGTGTGTGTGTGTGTGTGGCTGTGTGTGTGTGTGTGTGTGTGTGTGTGTGTGTGTGTGTGTGTGTGTGTACGTGTGTGTGTGTGTGTGTGTGTGTGTGTGTGTGTGTGTGTGTGTGTGTGTGTGTGTGTGT